AAACATAAAATGCCACTTTATAACTTCAATAATAGCCTGTAATTTATATTTATTGTGTGAATTTTTAGTGCTATATTTTAATAATTTGTAAATTGATCTTATTCCAAGAATCCTTTAAACTTGCAGGAGGACATCTGGGAATCCAGTCCCCTGCGCCCATCCCTGCATCCTGGACTGTCTAATCCACTTTGGGATGGATTAAAGAGTCTAGAGAGACCACTCATAGGTCCAACTGCTGGCCTCCTGACTCTAAAGCCTTCACTGGAATTGGGACATTAGCTCCAGCTCTAGCTGTCAACATGACCAGAGACATTATTTATAATTCAGCCATTTAAATATACCTGTCCTCAAAAAGTCCTGTATATTTTTTAAAAGTTTTATTTTTCAGGTGAACAAAAATACATTCTAAGAACTCTACATATGCCTGTGTAAGTTGGCCATTTCTCTTTCGTACCACTTGGGGAAAGAGTGGAGGTTGGAAGAAGAGATGGTCCGAGATGTGGTGGTTAGATGTTGATGAATAGGTGTAGGAGGAAAAAGCAATTGCCCTGATGTTCTCTGTGCCTGGTGGCTTAACTGAGTTGATTGTGAAGAGTGGTAGGAATGCATCTTAGTTGAGAAGCAATCTTGGGGTCAGATGAACAGTGATACCTAGCTCAGTCACCTTTTACCAACATTTAAAAACCTCTGAAAGGTTCTGCTCTGAAGGGTCTCTGAGCAGATGCCTAGCTGGGGAAGCTAAGGGACCAGCAAGCATACATATTAAGAATTACTACCAAAAGAAAAAGAATTAGTACAAACACTGAGCTGGCTGAGAGCTGAGGTGAGGATAAGCCACCTGATAAGCATCACCTTTCTCCCTGTTAAACCTTCAGCGCCTAGATAGTTCGAGAAGTACTAACGCTGGGAGGGTCGCACTAATGTGCCCACAGTGGTTGGTCAGAGCTTTGTCTACAGTGGAGCAGGCAAGAGAGCCAAATGGCTGAGAGAAGGTGTAGGTTGCTTCAAAGGTAAGGCCTTTTCTCCCCCTAAAGCAAACAATAAAAGACATGTGGGTGAAAAGCAAAATATAAGGGATTAGTTATGCCTCAAAATACATGGCACATGGTTGAGCTGAGCTCATTATTAGACAATGCTGCCCAATACAAAGCAGAGTGAGAAGCCAGTGTCAGTGGGGCCCCCTGAGGCCTGCACTTCTCCAGAGCTGTTGGGGGCTAGCTTCTGTGCTTTTACATCACCTTGTAGTCTGCAGGGGAGCATGGAAAAAGTCCGCCCTTCTTTTATTTTCCTCTTCAGCCTACACAATGGCTTTCTGTGAGAGGGCTTGGCAAGGCAGAACAGAAGGGAAGTGAAAGAGTTTCCAAGGTTCTTCTAGTCAGCCCCCCCTTTTGTATAGATGGTGACATGTGGCTTTTGCAGTTGCACACGGCTTCACACACTGGACCCATACAGTGTGTGTAGCAAAAGCCTGTTGGCCAGAACAGGGCTGGGGTGGTGGGGAGCAGAGGTCAGAACAGCTTTATTTTCATGGGTTAGAAATTAGCAGCAAAATTGTCCATCAGCAAGGAGAGGTCTGCAAAAAGGGGGTTATTTTCCTTGAACTGCTTTGAACCTGGGTTGCCAGGATCATTTCTAGGTGTTTACTTCTATTAGACATTACTGTGTGCACTCACACTCCCAGGCAGCCTGAGTTTGAAGGAGGAGATAATCCTCTCTTGTGAAGTTTTGGAGGGTAAAGGATCAGGAGTCTGCTAAGCTGTTTAGACTTGAGTCTGTGTTGGAATCATTTCTTTCCCCCATGATGCTGAGGTGCAGAGAAGTAGTTCTCTGAAGTTTTAAGCATAAAAAATACTTTTCTTCCTAACAGCTCTAGATTTCTGCACAGTATGAGACCACAGCTTGGGAAGCTTTTCTGTCTACCTTGTTTTTCAGTTTTCACTAGGGAATTCTAAGATACTGTGTTCTTCAGTTGAGTATTTATATCCTGTTTTGAAATGCTGAGTGGAGTGCATCTACTTGTTTCTACATATTTTTTAAGGGGAAATGAAAGGTCAGGTCCCAAGCTTTATGGCTACCACAGCTATTTAAAAGGGGTAATAATTGTCCTCCCCTTCCTGTTGCCAGAGAATGGAGGTATTTCTGGAATTGCAATGCAATAACAAAAAGGGCCACAGCTGTATACTTTTTCTTTCTTGGCTCCCTCAGTAGAGGGAAGGACCATAGTGGCTTTGCTCATTTCACAGGACCAGTGCTAAGCTCAGTGCTTGGCACATTGTAGTAGGTGCTTAGAGTTTGTTGATCACTGGGTTGATCATTGTGTTAGAATTGGCCCTAGTGGCAGTGTGGTGTCACAGTTGTAATCCACTTGTGTTCCCACATCTTTTACTTGCTGACCTAGCCCCAGGGTTTCTGCTGCCGGAAAACCTGCATCAGGCTCTTTGTTCCCTCCAATAGCTAATTTAAAAAACATACATATTTTTTATCACCAGGCTTTCTATCCTAAGTACAGATAAAGCCATGGCTCCAAATATATACTGTGTACAAGAGCCACCTGGTCAGTAAGGAGCACCTGGGCCAGACCAGTTTCCATATAAGCATTCTATAAACATTCGTTAAGCTACTACTGAGAGACTAGAAAATTCCCAAACAATTCTTGACCTCAAGAAATTTAGTCATGCCAACAAGAATCAATCTTTGTTACTGCCTGGTTTTCTTAACTTCAATAAATCTGCTTTTATAGTAGCTTATCAGTTAAACAGAAATATGGTTCTAACTTCCCTAGAATATCTTCCATAAACCACTAGCATTAATTCAAAAACTATTTATTTAGTGCCTCCAGTGTGCCAACTGGGACTTAAAAGTCCCCAAACCAACTTGTCCAGAAAAGCAACTGCCTGGATTACCAAGGAATTCCTTTTTTTTTTTTAAGATTATATTTATTTATTCATGAGGGACACACACAGAGGTAGAAAGACGCGGGCAAAGGGAGAAGCAGGCTCCATGCAGGGAGCCCGATGTGGGACTTGATCCTGGGTCTCCAAGATCAGGCCCTGGGCCTAAGGTGGCGCTAAACCGCTGAGCCACCCCGGCTGCCCTACCAAGGAATTCCTTTTAAATATACCTCTTTCTGCTACCTTGGTGTTCAGAGTCCTGAGTTGAGGTCTCTGCCCAGCTTGTGACTTGGAGGCCACCTCAGCTCCCTGCTGTGTGGGCAGCTCATAGCATGGAGAGGACCTGGGGAGTGGGGGGCGGGGAGGCAGTGTACTCTTATAAGAGACCCTGAACTGGAAAATAGGAAACTGAGAGACCCAGTAATGACACTGGTTCCAGCCTTGGCCTGGCTTTTATTCTCTTAACCAAATGGGAATTCATGAGACCAGCTGGAGGTAATAGATGTGACAGGGCTTGGAGATCTTGGGAATAAAAGTACAATACATACAAAGGAGGTAATATATTTTCAAGTGAGCATCTGTCCCTCTGGGCAAATTGACGCCTGGAAAAAAACGTGAAAGGGCAGATAGTAGACATTACACCCTGTGCCCAGACTATCAGTGTCAGCATCACCTGGGAGCTTGTTAGAAATGCCATGTGTTGGGCCCCATCCCAGTCTAACTGAAGGAGAGATTCAGAGGGTGAAGCCCAGACTAGCTTCCGGGTGATTCTGACACTAAAATCTGAGAACCATTGGCCCAGACTTTCCCTCTGATTCTGTAACTTAGGGTTTAGGTATTTCCATTTTGATAGATGGCTACAAGGTGACTTTTGACCTTTTTTCTTGGTTGAGGCCAGCTGCCCTGCTGGAGAGAAAGGAAACACGGTGTCCCCAGAGTTTGTAAGAAAAAGGGAAAAAGCCTGCATGATTGGGATTTTTTTTTTAAGGTGCCCAGAGAACTTGTCCTAGAGAGCTTGTGAAGGAGGCAGGCCTGGAAGAGTCCTCTCTCCTCCCACAAAGGTACTGTTGTGTTTGCTTCACCTCCTGCCCTGAGGCCTACTGCTTCTCCAGTCAGTCCTTAAAAGGAGCAGTGGGTGCCACATTTGTTCTTTCTAGTGCCAGGTCTGTGCTATTTCACTTCACTGGCGTCAAGTAGATGCTTAATGAGAGGCTGTGACGTCGGCCAGCAGACTTGAGAGAAAGCAGCCCCAGTCTGTGCTTCCTGCAGCTCCTCTCCCTGCCTTCCCCGCCTCTGGTTCTCCCCTCAGTGAGGCTGTGGTCACCCTGGGGCAGTCCTCACTCACAAAAAGCTGCTTGCTGGGGTCTGATAAGTGGCCGGGAGAGGCAGAGTGAAGTAAGATCTTTAGTTTCTCCTATTTCCTTGACAATCCCCCTCCTTCCCAACCTAGTCTCCAAAATAAGAAGAGATAGATAGCCACATGGGGAATTTTGCCACTTCCTTTGTGGGTTTTTTGGGGGGCGGGGGTGAGGAGGTGGTGCTAGTACCATCCTTTCCTGTTATTCCTGTCCCTGAGGCCAGGGTTGGGGCTGGAGTTGACTGGTGGTCAAACCCTCCGAACTTGTGCCTTGTTAGATAGCTGGGAGTCCCAGTTATGTGTTCCTTGACCATAAGAAAATACAGTCATGCTGTTCCTTGGGGTGAAAAAAACCTTCACTCTGGGAGGCATAGAGCAAACCCAACAAGGGAGTTTTGATTCTGGGGAAAATAATAAGCAAAGACTGTGGTGGGAGTTCAGGAGATTGCCACTGATGTAAAAAGAAGAAAAGGGGAAACGCTGAGCTGTGAAAGTTGGTGTGCAGAGTTAAGGGAAATGCTTAGAACATCCTTATGATCCAGCTAGCAGGTGAAGGCAAAGACCCCAGCAAGAGCAGGGTCACTTCATGGGGCTCTTAACTCCAGTCGATTCCCCCAGGCAAATGAAGCTCACTGCCCTGGAAGGCTGAGTAAACCTTACAAACCATCCCTTGTTTCCTTGACGTGTACCCACCCCAGTGAAGGTGAGACTGGAAGAGGAAGTAAAGGAGAAAATGGCAACAGTAGACAAGATCAAACCAAATAGCTACTTCATTTATTTGACACATACTGAGCGCGCCAGGCTGCTATGCATGGAGCACCTACTCCATGGGCCGGCTGTGTTTTGCATACTCTTATGTTTAATGCTCTTGACAACCAACCCTTCAGGGTTGTTAGTGGCCCTGTTTCGCAGAAAAGAAAACTGAGGCTTTGGAGGTTAAACTTGACCAGCTGGCTGATGACAGACCTAGATTAAAAGTCAGTCTGTTGAATTCCAAGGCCCACGTTTGTTCCACTCTACCGCACTGCCAGTTCTCAAAAAGCATACCTCCCTTGCAATATGGTGTGCTGCCCACCTCTGTCAGGACAGGGCTGTCCCCTGCCCCTTCCGTCCTCCTTGTTAGGAGGCCTGAAGTAAAGCTGCCACCTCCCTACCGCTCTGCAGGCATCTTCCTTCTCCAGTCCTCCAGCTCTGTGCCTGGGTTCCTGATTGCTCTGTCTCATGAAGACCTTCCCATTTTTGAGGAGAGTCTTGTCAGTTGGTTGGAAAGGAGAAAGGCATCTAAGAGGAAGTCTCTCAGCCAGGCCTTTAAACAGAGGAGCCTGGAATTGCTACATGTAGGCTTCCATGACCCTGAGGTTTGTGGAGGGATGTCTATGCTTCCCTCCTGCTCCATAGCTGGTTCCAGCCTCGGGGGGAGAGATGACCACCATAGCTGCTGGTTCCCTTATCCTGAGGAAGGGCTCCTTTTTTTGAGAAAAGCTCAGTGATACTTGCCTAGCACTAGGGTTTTCCTACAGTGAAGATGTCCTGGGCCAGTCTCTGTACTCTCCAACCCCTAGTGACTCCCAGGACGTCCTTTTTCCTGACATCCTTCTGGATGTTACCTTCAAGGAGAGAAGCCCCATTCCTCAATAGCCCTTCACAAGTCAACTTTCTGTCCTGCAAGGTCCTGTTGTGAGGACTGAACTGTGATGCCCGAATTCTATATTCCCATCCCATAGTCAAACATATACTCTCTAATGAGGGCCCATCTGTACAGCTGGTAGCACTGGGGGGTTTAGGAGAAGTTTGTGAATCTTAGAATTCAAATTCTTGATCATGATCAGTTTTGGAGACATCTGAATTCAAGGGCTCTGCCTAAATCTGCTCTTTCCCAACTCCATCCTTTGGGAGTCATAGGTCAAGTCCAGGGTCATGCTCTAAATGCATATGTGTATGACTGGAGGGCAAGGGGGAAACTTGAGCTTAGAGTCATCCATCCTTACCTATTCTTGCCTCACAGGGGTCTTCTTCCCACATGCCTAAGAATATTCCCAAGCCTTTTCAAAATTCCTCTAATCAATCCCACACCAACATCTTCCACTTCCTTCACCTCCTCCCATTCCCAACCAACTTCCTCACTCCCCACTACAGGAAGCTCACTACCCCCTCACTGGCCTCTCAGGCATCTTCCCAGGTGTCTCAGCTTCCCACCCAACTCTGAAGCCAGGAAGCTTCCACTGGTTGGGGGCAGGGGCAGCCATGGCGGGGGGAGTCCTTAGAGTCTAGAGTCAGTCTGCCCCTACCTCTCCATACATTCTAATCCAAACCCTTACTACTCAACCTGTGGTCCAGGAACTAGCAACATAGATATCATCAGGAGCCTATTAGAAATGCACATTTCTGGGTCTACCACAGACCTACTGAATTAGAATCCGCATTACTCTGCACCTTAATATGTGAGAAGCAATCTGATCAGCTGAAAAGATACCCCTCCTCAGGCTTCCTGAGTAGAGGGGGTGGAGCAGGAGCCAGTGAGAAAGCCCCAGCTGTGACCCCATAGTTCAGCCCTCACTTTGAGAGTGGAGGACCCCTGGGGATGATCATCTAGACACTCCCCCAGAGAAGCCAGAGAGACTGGTGAGGCCTGGGACCCTCAGCAGAGAGAAACAGCCACTGCAGGGCCAAAGAGAAGGGGAGCAGTGGGGGCCACTCGGGGAGACCCAGGCAGGAGCTTGGGGGTAAAGGGCACACGTGGTGAGAAAGGAAGGGGTACCTGCCTTTTCAAGCAGAGGTGAGCTTGTTCTCTTTGGGCTCCTACCACCATCCCCAGCTCCTATCAGAGAGTGGCTTCTGCCGTGTAGCCTGGGTCTGCTGGATGACTGGGTTTCTCCCTCCCTCTTGCTGGCAGAGTCACCATCGCCCACCAGCTGCGCTGCTGCTAGTGGGTGCTCAGGAAATGTTTGTTGAATTGAGAGGAAGCCACAGCTTGTGTGGAGTCTGAATAATTCACCAGCCGGGGGCCTGGTTGGGGGTGGGTGGGGGGAACAGAGACCAAGTAGGAAGGCAGAGTCCCGAAGTTGTCAGTTTCTCTGTCCCTTGTCTGAGTCCCTGCTTTTGAACGATGGTGGTGCAGGGAGGTGGTGGAGAGGAGAAAGGAGGAGACACAGGAAATGGCCCTGGGCTGTGGGGCTCCCCTTCCCCCCACCTTGATGCTGTCTTGATGCTACTACACCTGATGTCTGAACTGGGTGTGGGGGAGGCTATCCCCAATGATGAGCTCTCCTCTCACACTATGGGGAGAAGAGCCATTCCTCTTCCCACCCAACCCCACGCCATTTCAGTGAGGAGGCCTGTCCAGGGACCCTGTCTTCTACAGAGAGACCTGAGCTCTGCTCTTCTGTCCCCAGCTCTGTCCCTACCTGCTGTGGCCTCCCTTTCTTCAGAAAGAAGGAAAGAGCAGAAAGAAGGAAAGGCCTTAGCCTCCTCTTCCAGATAGGTGGGAGGCTGTCAGCGGATGACTGAGATTCCCCTGGTTTGGCCATTCTTTGAGTATGGCCAGGCTGTGAGACATCCAGGTGCCAGGCAGAAGCATGGGAAGGGCCCTAAGCCTGGGCTGGTCCAGCTGTGGAGGTGGCCTGCACCTGAGAAGCCAAAACCACAGCTGGAAAGAGAAGCTATGCCTTAGGGGTGACAGGCCAAGACAGGAGAGCCAGGTTCTGAGTGCTTCTAAGCCTTGCTTTCTCATGGCAGGGAAGCTTGTGGCCTGGGTAGCAGTAGACCCAGGGCAGGGCTAGACAGCTTCAGGGATCAGATGTGGCATGAGAATACACCAGGAGCTTTACCTGCAGGTGAAAACACACCTATGGAAGGGATGTGCCCAGGGATGTGCACATGAGGTGCCCTCATAATGTCACACACACACACACACACACACACACCCCGGAGAGTTTGCCCAACTGCTCAGCCAGACTGCCACAAGCCACCAGCATCCTAACACCCATTATACTCTAGAGTCCTGCCTGCATTCTTCCCTCCTTCTCTCCACAGCCTGGTCCCTTGGCCCACAGGAGCTTTGCTCAGCATCTTCCCGCAGGACCAGGCCCTCCTGTCCTGCTTCTTGCTCCTCCTGTGCCCCTTGCCCTTTGGCCCATTCCCCTGGGGGGCCTGCTTCGTGGTGCCAAGCCCTGCTGGGCCCCAGCCTTGCCACACCTGTCTTCTCTGAGCTCTGGGGGCCCTGCTCCTCCTTGTGGCTCAGAACAAGTCTGTAGTTCCAGCTCAGCCTGGGGGTCATTCCACCCCGGGAGCTGCTTGGAACCATCCAGTGAGGACACAGGGTTCTCCTGGGCCCCAGGCCTCGGAGAGAGCGCACGTACACTCTCCCTGGACCCAGGGCTACTGGCCCCTCCTAGAGAAAGGTCAAGGGGAACCAAGTCAGAGTGTTGTGGAGAGCCAGGGACCAGACTGGCTGCAGAGGCTCCTGACTCCCTCTTTGGCTCCCCGGGGGGTACTGGGGCTGGGCTGGCCACTGGGGCGCTTTTGGCTCGGCCCAGCTCCATCCTGCTCTGCTTCTGGGAATGTCCCTCCTCGCTCCGAGTCTTTCTTGTACTTTGGCTTCTCTGAAACAAGAGATTGGCCCTGTTGGCTGGGGAATTCAGAGCTCATGTCCCTAGCCCACCCCATCCTAGTCCCAAGCACCCACCTCCTGGTTCTCCAGCTCCTCCTTGTCTTCCTTTGTTTCCCACCTGTAGAAACACAGCGCATGGCAGGCCCTACTCCTACCCACCCCACCTCAGGTCAGTTGCTCTGTAGCTGTGGCCCGTGCTCCCAGGAGCAGCGGGGGCCCAAAGGTCTCGGAAGAGCCTCAGAGCCAGAGCAGTGCTCTGGGATGCTCCCCTTCTGGCCCGACCTTGTTCTGCAAATCCAGCCTCTTCCTCTGAACACCACCCACTCTAGCCCCATCCCAGGTCTCCAGCTGCTGTTTATGGCCAAGCCTACAGCACCTCGAGTTCCAGGGGGACTCTGGACGTGTCTCTGCCTGCACAGCCTGGGAAAGGCACGCCCGGTTTCCCAGGGGGAGGGGGGGCAACTGCTGTAATTACTGCCGGCCTCCCTGGGCACCAGGCTCTCGCGCTGCTGCCTTTGCTGCCCGCCTCTCCCCAAACCTCATTAACCTGCTTCCAAGCAGCCCTCAGGCAGAAGGCAGCAGCCCCAGGGGCCGGAGCAGAAACCCCAACCAGTGCAGGTCCCAACCTCCCAGGGGCAAGGGAGGTCCAGGAAATCAGGTAGCCCAGGGGCTTCCCCTGATTCTGCCCCCTGCCACCTGTTACCTGCGGGCCCTGCCAGTCAGCCTCTCTGTCCCCTGGGCTTTGCTTCGTGTAGCTGAGACCGCTGAGGGTCTGCTGGGTGGCCCACCCCGAGTAGTACCACCTGCAAGAGATGGTCCATGAATCAAGGAGAGAAGAGGGCCATGGCAGCCCGGCTCCTGCATCGGCTCACGCGACCCTGCTCCTCTTCCTCTCCCAACTCACCTTTGCCATCAAGACACAGTGGTGGGGGCTGTGACTTCCGGTGGCTCCTGGGGCCTAAGTGAGGCAAAGTGGAGAAAGAGTAGGGTGATAAATGATCCAAAGCGGTAACACTAGTTCTTCCAGGATTGGGAAGCTGTCAGTCTTCCTCTTGGTCCAGGTGTGGGTTTTCTGACTCCCAAAAAGATGCCTGGTCTTGGGGTCAAGAGAGCTGGGTCCCTGTGCTCCCTTTGGCATTCCTGGTTGGTAGCTGGCTGAGTCTCTCCAGCCCCAGGTTCCTCGTGTGTAAAATTAGGACACTGGCAATTCTGAAAGTTCTTTTCCTACAACAGGTCGGGGGCAGGGAAACCATAGCTTTCACCCAGGAGGCACCAACTTCGAAGGATCCCAGTGCAGACTTCCTTGTGAGCCTCCTCCCCAGACCTTCTGGGGTCAGAACCCAGGGTAGGAGCTCTGGGTTTGGAGGGTGGGAAGGTGCCCTGGCTCTGATAATGGAGGAGAGGAAGGAAGATGTTATTCCCTGCCTCTTTCCAGCTCCAAAAATAAGAGGCACAGCAAGAGACAGAGAAAGGAGAGGGAGCATTGTGAGAAAAGCCAAGGAGGGGCAGGGAGTGAGGTGGGTATTGGCTCACCCCTGGTGCTGCCCACCCTGGCCAGGCCTTCTTCTCGAGGCTTGCTGGGGTCCTGTAGCCTATGGAGCCAGAGAGTCAGGCTGCTGTGGGGTGGACACGAGCTACAGCCAGACCCACACAGCCACTGCCTCCCCCAGCCCCAACCCCAGAACTGACGGCAGCAAAATGAAGGCAGACCCAAGAAAATGGGGGTCCCAGTGCCCACCCTGAGCCCAAGGCCCAACCAGGGGGCCCAGGCAGACCCTTCACCACCCTGGGGAGGGTCCCACAAGCCCTCCAAGAAGCATCCTATGGTTAGTTCTACACCAAGCCCTGTAAGCATGTCAGTCCAACAAGCTGCCCGGCCCTGCCACCCACGTGGGCTTGTCCTTGTCCAGGTCCCATGGGCGGCGCCAGTCACCCTGTGCATCTCTGTGCCTGGCCACACGAGCCAGGTCAATCTGTTCCCGCTCCTGTTTCCACTGGGCATAGTCCCAGCCCACCTCCAAGGGTCCCTCCACCGGGACCAGGCCTGGATTCTGGGGCTCTCGAGCACCCTGCAAGGAGAAGACACTCAGCACCATGGGGTAGAAGCAGCAGGCAGCCCTGGTTTTGGGGCAGAAATCTGGATACTATCAACACCTTCCTCTCAAGGTTTTGCTGTCCCCAACTAAAAATGAAATTCATTCCATCTCTAACATGTCAGTTGCCATAGGCACGGTTTCCATCCACTTGTTAGCTCTGTCTTTTCGGCAACTTACTTAACCTCTCTGTGTATCACTTCCTCATCTGTACGATGGGGCCTGTCCCCTGGGGTGTTGCAGGGGTGTGTGCACAGCCCTAGAGGGGAGCAGCTTCGAGCTGCTGTGAAAGAGAGCCAGGACTAGGGGCTGCTGCCACCTAGAGGTCACACCTGGCACACAGCCAGTCGTCCTGCAGCCTCCAGGCCCACCCCAAGGTCCCCACATGTTGCTATCCAGAGATCCAGTTAGGGTAAGGGGCTGACCTCCAGCCTACCCTGTGAGGGTAAGGCCCACCCAACGTGGAGGCTGGCCCAGAGAAAGGAAGAAGGGGTGGGAATTCTCGCTGGTGCTGCCTGGACCACGTCCCCACAGATGGGGGATATAGGTGACTCAGCTTCTCCGCCTCCCCCAAATGGTGACTGCCACTTTCATGTCCCCATCCCCTCTTGAAGATGTACTTTCCGTGCAGAATCCGAGCTGACGGCCATCTGCAGAGAGGGAGTCCGGCCCAAGCCCCTTCCACGTGACCCTCCTGCCCCCTGGTTCCTTGCTCTGGTGGGCTTCGCACTTACGATCCTCTTGGCCTGGGGGCGGGGGAAGGGTGGGCAGTGTGGCACAGCCAGGTAAGAAGAGGCTGCCAGCCTGATACCTGGGCTTCCCCCTACCCTGCTCACCTCAGCTTTGTTTTCCATGGTCACAGCCAGCTCCACCCGCTCCCCCAAGCAGAAAGTACCAATGTGGTCCTCCACCCCCTCATCCTCAAGCATTTCATTGGCTGCTCCAGGTCTGAGGGATCTTGTCCAGTTCCGGCTGACCACCCGCTTCTCCTGCAGAACGAGATGCCATGCCTCAGACCACGTGGGCCACGCTGAGCAGGAGCTGGGATTGAGTCCTTTGGGGAGGTTCCCCAGGCTGGGTTCCAGCTCTGGCCCTCCCTGGAATGCTCATAGAGAAGCTGACTCCATGGGGCATTCACATGCCAGTAGCATTAGGTTATTCGGGGCCTGGGGCCACCCAGGGGCCCAAGATGCCACAACAGCCTGTCATCTCAGAGCTGAAAATCCAGAGCACTCAGACAATGCGGCTTTGTCCTTCAGATACTGCTCCTGGCATTCAGCCCCCCTCCTCTGTCCCTCTGGGGTTTGGGGTTTAGGAGTGGCCTGTGATTTGGTGCATGGGTGCCGGGCTGGGGTGCCCTAACTTTCACATTCACCTGGAAAAGGGTATGAGGAAGGTTCTCTTTGGTGGCCTTGCAGCTGTGGCCCTTGGGGGTCAGGGGACAGCAGTGGGCTGGGCTGTATAAGGCTGGGAACTGAAGGGTAAGCCTCAGAACTGTAAGTGGAGGAAACAGGAGCAGGAGCAGTTGTCCTCCTCTGACACAGGCTGGGCCTCCACCTCCTTGCCACCCCACCCTATTTCCCTGGGTGGGGCTTACGCCGGGAACCTGGCTGATAGTGACAATGAGGCCATCAGGTCGGAGGAATTCCGGTGTGGTCACGGCCATGCCCCCCTGCTCGGCCTGCCGACGGTCCTCTTGGATCTCCTGCGGGAGGGCCCGGGGTCAGCACAGGCCATGGCCCCCCAGACGCACACAGACAGGCCTACACAGAGAGACACCGATGGGACACCAGGGGGCAGAGGCACCGCATCACAGAGTCCCCAGGATGCTCACAGAGTTTCTGAGTTGGCCCACAGCCCTGTAACCTGGCCCCTGGCCTAGGGCCTGCGGGGAAAGACCGCCATGCAGCGGTCTGTGGGTCAGAAAGGGAGTGCCAACCCGGTTGGTCCTCCCAGCCCCCGTCACGGCCCACTCACCTGGTACCTTCGTAGTAAGGCTTGGTTCTTCTTTCGAAGGGCAACTATCCTCCGATCCAGCTCGGCATCCTTCTCCTCCTGCCTGTTCGTAGGTGACTCGGCTCCGTGAGACCCCTGCAGAGGGCAGGGTTCCCAAGCTCCTGACTGCTGGCTGGGCCCATCCCTTAACCGGCCCCTAACTTTCACATTCACCTGAGAAGCACGTTCTTACCACGAACAGACCCCAGCCCCAGAGCTAGGCTTGCGAGGGGAGATGGCACATGGCAGGCCCCAAATCCCCACCCTCCTAGCTTGTCTGCCTGTCTCTCTGCTGCCTCAGGGGCTCAGGTCAGGGCCTTATACCCAGGCCTGCAGCTCCCAGCAGTGGGCTGCCCCTCCCCCGGGCTCCCCAGGGAGCGCCACTGCTGAGCAGAGCCTGGAACAAGAGTTATAAATGGCTCTGGCAGCGGAACCTGCCGTGACTGGGAAGTTGCCAGGGGATTCAGGAGGTCGGGGTGGGAGGGGGGAGAGCCCTTTGGCTCCCAGGCCCAGAACCACAGTAAAGAGAGGCCCCTGCTCTGTCCCAGGCTCCCAGGCCCTGGGCCCTACTCCCCAGGCTTGTGCCCGGCCTGTGGGAAAGGGCCGCTCCCCGAGCCCAGCCTCTCGGTGCAGGAGAGAGCCAGTTCCACCGGCAGGCCCAGTCCAGAGCCACCCTAAGGAAGCCGAGCCTCTGCCGAGATCCCCGTCTCTCTCCCTGTCTGGCTGCTGGGCCTCCGTTGTAGCCACACGCCCCTGCCCAGCCCCCCACCGGCCTAGGCACAGGCCTCTTCCTCCCAGGCCCAGCTGTTCCCAGCTGCCCCCAGAGTGTGACTGCTTGGTGTCCCAGCCTCCTCCCAGCCCCAAGAAGCCCCCCACCAGAGGTGAGGTGCCACTCACAGCTGAGTGCATGGCAACAGTGGGCACCGGGAGAATTCCAGAGCAGCCCCCGGGGAGCCAGAGCAGGAGGGAAGCTGGAGCCGCAGAGCCACCGGAGCCGGAGCCGGGCCTCTGCTGGCCTCTCCCTGCCGGCTTCACTGCTCAGCACACGAGATCATGTTGTGATTACAAAAGACTCCTCTGGGCTCCTAGCCAGGAATGCGCGCCGCCGCCCCCACCCATCCACTCTCAGAGGGCAAGGACCAGGGCACTGGCCCTGCCCAGCACCTCTCCCTGTCCTGCCCCAGTGTCCCCAGAGACACAGGCAAGAACCTCTCTCTGTTGGCTTGAGCCCACACAGGGGGCCAGGCTGCCCCAGGCCCTGCCTTCTCTGAGCCCCTAGGCTTAGCGGAGCCCCAGACTGGACCGACCTGCAGATGGACAGGCAGCCAACATGTGCCTCTGTCTGTCCCACTGAGCCATCGGCCATCCCAGTCTGAGGACCCCCACCTCACATGAGCCTCCCCTTACTGTGCTCATCAGCTCTGGTTTACATAATTTGAAGGGATCAAAAAGCCCACCACCCCTCCCATCAAGGCCACCAAATCCAACTACGTATCTGAAATAACACCATTAGTCATTCCTTTAGGTTGAACGTTGTCTTCCCTGTATTTTAAAGAACAGCCCCTCCTGAGAGTCTTTCCTTGGTGTGGGGAGCTGAGCCTTCCTGCATGGCACGTGCAGAGTTGGGCCAACAGGCTTCCCCACTCAGGGTCCTACTTCTGGGCCCTTCCTGGCATTGCTCTCTGGGACTGGCCTTTCAGCCTCTCCCACCCTCAGAAAAGAAGCAGACTTTCTCAGGAAAATGTCTCCCCAAATCAGCTGAGGCTGCTCCCTCTGCCCAAGAGAGCAGCTTGCCTGGCAGTCCCACTCTTGGAGCCTCCATGAGCTGGGGCTTGTGGTGCTGGGGGGCCAGGTGGTCTCTGTATCAGGGCTACCTGTGGTCTCTTTCAATAGCTTTAGGGCCCCAACCTCCAAGCCCTAAAGGGAGAGTCAGAGGTTCCTACATCCCCCATGTCCCTGATTGGCCAGGCCTGTTTCCTTAATTCCATGCTGTGTCGCCAAAGCAGAAAGCCCTGCTGCCCTCTATCCTACCCAGTCCAGCCCAGTCAGCCAGAGTTTCAATCTCTGCTCCCTATGAATCATCTCTTCCTGCCCCCCTCCCATCCTAACCATGGGGAGCCACTTTCCTGGTACCTTCACACGGTACCCTGACCCCACACCCAATATCCTCAGCCCCAGAGTCCCCATCCTGCTTGGAAATGCCACCACATTCTCTCTTCCTTTCCTGTCGGATGTTCCCACTGAGTCAGACTCCCAGCAATGGTGACGTACTCAGGCTCCTCTCCTGAGTGTCTTTCTCTCTCTCTCTCTCTCTCTCTCTCTCTCTCTCTCTCTGCCTTTCGGTCCTTCTTCCACCCTCTCAGAGTACTGCCTTGAACAGGCTGCTGAGTTCCAACCTAGCTCCCGAAGGCTAGAGGCAGGGCCCCGGTGGGGTGACAGCCCAGCTTCCCACCACCTGCCCCACACCTTGGGGCCTGCCCAGCACCAGCCTGGGATGGGGAGATGCACCTGCTGAGACCTAATGTTCTGTGTCACCTTTGGAACCCAGGCTCCCACACCAGGTCGGGAGCAGTGGGACATAGTTAGAGGAGGCTACAGGGGCTAGCTAGGCCAGATCATTCATGCCCCTCACTCCTGTTCCCAGCCAGAGTCCGGGCAGGACAGCAGCAGGGGAGCCGGAGGTGTAGATAGCAATCCAGCTACCCCTCTGGAAGGGCCTACAGAGAGAGACTCTCCTAACCCAGTGGCAAAGGCCTCAGGGCCCATCAGGCTGCAGGCCCACGTGCTGTGATAGGACACACCACTGACCAGATAGGGCCTCCCGGTCACTAGCCCTGTGCTTCCCAGGTGTTACACATGTCATACCTCGGAGCATCCCTTCCATTCTCCTATATTCTCCTGAGTCCAAGGTGTGTTTATCTGCTCCTCCACAGGACTGAGGCTCTCTGAGAACAGAAATGGTGTGCCAAGTGCCTCCGGATCCTTAGGGCCTGGCCCCGGGCCCTTATAAACCACAGGCAATCCCTCAGCGCTTGCAGAACAAATACGGAGTGAATAAGCCATGCTGTCCTGTGGAGGGCCATCGGGATCCCATGCATTTGCTCTGACCGCCTTTCTCGGCCCAGAACACAGGGGCTCTGAGTGAGGCCACAGGCGGTGAAGGCCCCTGGCCTGGGCAGGTAGGGGAGACCGGGCCTCGGTTGCTCCGCGCCGCCACTAGAGGACAGCAGAGTCACAAGTCCTGATGAGGAGGTGGGGGTGCTCTTCTACTTCTTCCCTCTGGCTTCCCAGCTCCTCTCCCTGGAGTCTCCATAATCCCCAGGCCGGAGACTCCTGACTGTGCCACACTAGGAAGCCCCGCACTTGTAGAAGCTTTATTTTATTGATGAGGAGGCCCAGAGAGGTAACACCATCTGCCCAGGCCACATAGCCTTTTGTGTCACACATGAGACCAGAAGCCAAGGCACCTGCCATCCAACGAAGCACTCTCCTGCCCCCCACCCCCAGGTTACCCCCCCAAAACGCTGTTTCCACAGAAACTTCACCCTGTGCCCTGGTCCTCTCTGCTGAGGTGAGCCTGTTGTCCTTGCACCCCAGCCATAGGTCCTGATCACACATCTTTTCCCTGGCGGATCCCCCACCCTCTCAGGTAGCCTGCCAGCTGGGCCCACAGCCCCACACCTGGAGTGGGCCACATTTGAGGTTTTTGTTTGTTTGTTCAAGATTTTATTTATTTATTTGAGAGTGAGAGAGCTGGTGCATGCACAAGCAGAGGGAGGGGGAAGCAGGCTCCCCGCTGAGCAGGGAGCCTGATGTGGGACTCCATTCCAGGGCCCTGGGATCATGAGCTGAGCTGAAGGCAGAAGCCCAACTGACTGAGGCACCCAGGCGCCCCTGGAGTGGACCATATTCAGATGGTATTTGTGGTCTGTGGTCCATAGAACCAGAGCCCGTCCTGAAGACAAGATGGCTACATGTCTGGAGATTGTCACTGAGGAGGAAAGAAGAGAAAGGCCTGCAAGGGAAGAAGGGACCATCTGGACCACACACCGAGACTGAGGGCACAGACCCGACAGAGGCCTCGCTCATGGGCCTTGTTCACTGCTTCCAGAATGGCTACCCTGTCCATGGCTGACTAATAACATACAAGCGCTCCAACCTTTGCCCTTCCTCAGCCTTGTCATAGATGAGGCAGAGAGGGATGGGAGAATCCAAATTAACTCCCCCCTCACTGGCTGTACGGCTTTAGGTAAGTCCCTTATCTCTCTGGTCCTCCTCTGTAGGATGGGGTGTACATACCCCTCCCAGCCAATGGCAGATGAAATGAAGTAACGTGTAACATCCATATCTGGAGCAATGTGTGACCTGGAGTAAGGTTTCATTAGTTTTCTTCTTTCCTCAGGTAACCATGATAGCTACCTTCTGCATGCTACCACTACAGCATTCTTTGAGGGGCCCCAAAGGCTGCCTCTTGCCATCCTGCTGGGATCTGGACACACTGAAGCCTTCTGAACTTATTCTTTTTTTTTTTTTAAGATTTTATTTATTTATTCATGAGAGACACTGAGAGAGAGACACAGGCAGAGGGAGAAGCAGGCTCCATGCAGAGAGCCCAATATAGGACCCGATCCTGGGACTCCAGGATTATGCCCCGGGCTGAAGGTAGGCGCTAAATTGCTGAGCCACCCAGACATCCACCCTCTGAACTTCTGAAGCCCACTTGAGACCTGGTGTGCAGATGCTGAGGCACCCCCCAGCATCCTCTCTGAGCCTCCCTTCATGTGGACCCCTGCCCACAAAGCCTCCAAGGCCAGGTTCCTGCCCCACCCTCTGCAGGGAGTACTCCCTTCCCATGTCTGCCCCCTCTGAAGTCCCAGACTCTGGCTGCCATCTCTGGCCAGCTAGCTGCCCTGTGCTTCACCTGCCTTTCTTCCATCAGGAGAACAAAAAGGCCCAGTTCCAGGTTCACATCCCAGTGCCCAGGAACCATTCCTGGCTGGAGCCGAACCCTCAGAGGTCACCGGTGCCACCTTCCCAGCTCTGGGTGTGTGGATGAGTATTGAGGAGGATGGGCAAGGCTGGATTGCTTGAGCACCCAGAAAATAGGCAGGCAACCCTCCAAATGGGAAAGGTCAAGAGGGTGGCTTAAAGACTCCTGGGTTTCCTCTCCTGCAAAGCCAACCCCATCAGGGCCATTCCTGGCTCAAGAAGTTGCTGTCCTGACTCCTACTGACCTGAGGTCTGTGTGCCAGCCTCTCAGGGCAGGCCAGGCCTACACGTGGGTGGGGAGGACTAGAGTACATGAGGTAGGGCAGGAGGGACAAGCCCTGGCCAGGCTCCAGCCACTGGGGACAGTCTGGGCCTCACCTCTTCCAAGAACACACATGCCAGAGCAGGGTGGAGCTGAAGACCTTTGAGGCAGAAGGAAGCAGAAGGAAGGCTGCTCTGGGGTCCCACTCCTCCTCTGCTTTCCAGGACACACCCAAGGCTGGGACACTATGAGCTTCCCAGCTCCTGGCCCAGCCATGAGAGATGAGCCCTCATGTGGAATGAACCCCTGGGGTCTCCCTTGTTTGGGGCGGGGGAGAGGGGGCTCCTGTGACTCCTGTGAGGGCAAAGGTGACTCACTGTGTTCTCCCAGGACCCACCCCTCCCCCCACCCCCAGAGCTGCCCACAACCAGAAGCCGAGTGAGTGACCTAAGAGGTGAGGGCCCAGACACCACCTCAGAGGCACTTGCAGACACCAGGCTGCATTAGCTTGAGGCCAGGGCAGCACAGGGCTCAGGCCCACCATAGAGTTTTCCAGCTGAGCTTCAAGGGGATGGTCGTGAGATGCATCTGTAGATGCATCCCCGGAAGAGGCAGTGGCACGAGCTATGGGGTGTGTTCAGATCCTGGAGGGAGGGGTCTGGGCCAGGCAGAGCAGTGGGGGTCCAGGGAAGAGTGAGCAGGGGGCCCGGGAGCATTAGCATGGGGTCACGTGCAGTAGAGATGGGGTGGCGGGCTGGGGGCCCAGACAGCATCAGAGACTCAGG